ATGCACCCAAAGAGATAAATAAAAATAATTATTAAAACCAATATGAGGCACAACAAAACAAAATAACAATGAGTAAACAATATTAAAGAATAAAGTGAAACTATTTTCATTTGTATTAATCCTAAAAGGATCAATAATAGTCAGTGATTAGAGGCTTAAAGCAAAACCTTATCCATGGCAAAATACCCTTTGAATCCCCGGCACATTAGAGTTCATAAGGATCTCATAAACACCGAGCAGTGTTTGTGCCAGGGAAGGGCACAGGTTCCACTCCAAATACCCTTAACCATATATAGTTACTCTTCCCCAAAGGTTTAGATACAAATGAGGTATTCACTTTAGCAATTAACATGAGAGCAGTTGTAGATATAAAGGTTCAGACAAGAATTTCCACAGAAACATTATCATTACATCATTAACCTTAGAATCAGAACTCAAACACAAGTAGGCAAACTACTACAAGTACTTAGAGTATCAATGACCATTTATAGCATGTATCAGAACAATTAAAGAAAAACTACCATACTGATGTAAGAACAGAAGGAGTAAGTGGAATTTATTAACAAATCATCTCTAGTTTAGAAATGCTAAATTAAGTGATCAAAATGATTGGAAAGACTTGCAAATTAATCTCATTAGTTCTGCTAAAAGTTCAGTATTTCAAGGAACCTCAACTAGGTTCACAGTACTTCAACAGTGTTTTAGTGACCTTAAGAACTGTCAGAAGTAAACATACACACATGATTGAGTATTTATTCTACTAAACACTTATATTAACTAGTATTAGCTTCCTAACGATAATAACAACATCAGAGACATCAAAGTAGGCTAGACGAATAAGTTTTGATCTAATTCAAACTTAATATCAGGACATCTAGTCTATTAGGTTACTTCAAAATTCATGATTACGTCATAGAGACACGGATATGACCCAGACATGGGGCAGTGTTCATTTCAGCAAGAGAAGCAAGTATTATTGAGTTTGCTCAAGCTTATTAATGACAGCAGTAAACTCCCCATTTCAAATTCTGTATAGCTCAGGCTACTAAGTTATTAGGGCAGACAAGATTCAATTTTCTTATTTGACAAAATCGTTTTCAAATAAAGCACTTGGTAGTTTATTCATGAAGCTTTATTACATGACAAGCAGGTAAAAGGTACATGAGCATCAAGGTGTAAACACAAGTATAGAAATCATCAAGGATCACTTAACCAAGTATAGAAATCTTTCATATAGAAGTCATTAAGGATCACTTACAAGATCAGATGAGCAGATTGCATGACAACTAAACTGATGAACTCATTACATGAGTTTAGGTTATAATAACAGATTTGCATGAATCCTTATGTGTGCACATCATACATGGTTTCAATAATAAATTGTTCAGTCATTGTAAACGAGTCAAAGACATAATATGAACTATAATGAAAATAACTTTTATTTGATCCATAGCATGGCATAACATTACAAACATAAGGATCCATATGGCATGGTGCAGCAGATGAGCTCTTAAAATGACATTAAACAAGGTCTAAAAGGCATAGTTCAATTTAGTTGTCCAAACATAACAGTACAATCATTATTCAACTGATAGAGTATGCATAACATTAGCTTAGGCCTAGTTCAATTCATTATAAAGATATTTAACAGGATCAGTAATCAAGAAGGCATTTATTATTTATCTAAATCATAGGAAAAGAAGTTCATTAACAACAACAATTTGGCCAACAACATTAACACAATCATAACCATTCAGGAGATAATTTATTCAATCAGCAAGAATGACATGTGAAGGCAGGATATAATAAACACGAACATGAGATACTGATATGCATTACAAATGAGAGCTAATTATCAGAGAAGACATCATATACACGAAGCAATACAATTAATTAAAGAAAGAGGAGGAGAGAGAATCAGTGTACATTGACCTTCTGCAGGGCAGCAAACCAAACAAGAGCTTTTTGTTTAACCGTTTGGGAGTCCAAACCCCAATTAATCATGTACAACAACCCAACTCGAGCAAAAATGAAAGGAAGAAAAGAAAGTTAAGAGAAAGCTATTGGACCTTCAAGACTTAACCGAAAAGCCTTAAAATTTTGAAATCTTTCAATGTTTTAACTGATAGTGTTAGGTATATTCGCCTTTGTCAAGTCATGTTAGTTGAGAGCATTGAAAGTTCATATTTATAGTGGATGTTGAAGCCTTAGGAATTCAAATTAGTTCGAACAGGCAGTGAATGCTGACGCTAAATGATAGGTGAAATTAGGAGGAATGAAGGGGAAATCAGTGATGGATTTTACTTAAGAGGAAGGAAGTCGGCCATTGAAGTCTACAACCCAGTGGTCAAACCCCGATATCTAGAGGCCACTATGTTTGATCTCTGGAGAAAGAATCACGATGATGAAGCTGAAGATACAACTATGCATTCTTTGATTTGAAAGAACGGAAGAGAAAATCAAACAAATTGAAGTTTTGTATTTTAGGTCTAGGATTTCAGATTTGGGGATTTGAGGTGTAGTGATGAAAGGTGAAAGAATCAAGCGAGATTCGTGCATATAGGAGGCAGATTCAGTGTTGTAAAGTTCGAATTCGTGACCTTGCGTCAATTTCTGTAAGGATTGAAGAATGATGGGAGATGAGAGGTTGAGAGAATAGAGAGGAAAGGAGGAAAGAGAGGCGGCCGTTCAATGTGAGAAATGATTAGGATTAGGGGTCACTTGGTTGGTCTCTAAGGTATAAAGTGAAATATGAATCGTAGGCCGTTAGATCATTTGAACAATGACGGTGATAATTCCAGATATAAAACCCAGTAAACTGGTTAATGGGGAAAAAACGTGGGCCGTTAAATCCGTGTGATCCAACGGTTAGGATAAAATTTGATGAGAGGTTTAAAATAAAGGAAAAAGTGGGAATAAATTTGGATCGTCGATGATTTGGATTGACGGCCCATATCACTTATGTTTGTTTTGAGAGTGGAGGGTGCAGATAACGTGGCATGATTACATTGACTCTCAAGAGTTGGCATGAATTGCCAAGGTGGATGGGAGGGGATAGTTCCAGATCAGGTTGAGCAATTGGGCCTCTGTTTTTGGGATGAATTGATTTAACACATAGCAACATTGTGTTTCATTAGGCTTTGCAATTGTAGCCTTTTAATCTTTTAATTCCTTTAAAATTAACTTAATTAAGCTTAATTAATTCTAATTGAATATGATAAAAATATAATCATCAAATTCACTATAAATTACTGTAATTAATTCATTATTTATTAATATACTTTATTTACCAAATTATGAAATTTAATTTTGATTGATTTAAATAATGAGCGATGTAATTAAAAATCAAAGATTAATTTATTAAATTAATTATAAAACTTTTGTATCAAAATATAGAGGTTGTTTTAATAATTTTAAAATAGTAAGGGTAATATATTTTATAAGTATTTAATAATAAATTATTAGTTTAACACTATTAATTACTAATTTCCTATTATATTTATATGAAAATAGGTATTATTGATTAGAAAACATGGTAACCACATTTATTGCAATACATCAAGTATAAATAATTTAATTTTTAAAGGAAGAGTCAAAATTAGTCGTCAACACTTATATCTTGTCCAAATTAACTACTAAATCGTATATTAAATTCGCTATCATATTTTATGACTGCGTGAAGCACTAACAAATAACTAGTTTCTACTAAATGCCGACTAATCAGAGTTATGAGATTCCTTAACGGTATGATTGGGTAAGTCTTCTCAAGCAATATATCCATATATATTCTCTCATAAAGATAAAAAGCTTAGATTTCACCCTCACAAATACCTTCTAAACTGGAATTACTTCTTCCCTTTTGTCATTTAATATATTTGGATCAATAGAAATAATAACAATCAAAACAACACGGACTTTCCTATTAATATTAATCATGTCATCCAAAAAGCAATTGAATTTATTCTTCTCACTGGAAAATGTCCTAGCACATGTACCAAAATCCCCATTAAGATTAAATGGAACAAGCCATCTAGAGGGTGGTTTAAACTAAATATTGATGCTTGTTTTAAAAATCACAACGAAAAAACTTGCATTGGAGGAATAATCAGAGATACCCGTAGGAATTGGATAGTTGGATTTGCTAAGACTACCCAGGCTACTTGATCACTATATGCAGAAATGAAAGCACTCATGGAGGGGCTAAAAACAACACAAGAATGAGGAATGTTCCCGCTAGAAATAGAGACGGACTCCACGGAGGTGATTCATTCAATACATCAAGGAACAGATTATAAAATAACATTATTGATAAATGCAGGTTGTTCATGCACCAACAGAAGGTGATCCTCCAGCACACCTTCAGGCAAGGGAATAGGATTGCACGTCACTTGGCAAAGAAGTCAAGGCAGAAAGGAAAGCAAGTTTTTGTATTACCACCATGTTATGTAGACTCTCTAGTAGAGAGTGACCAAAAGGAACTCTATGTTTGTATTAAGACTTTATCTTATGATGTGTAATATCTTAGCAAGCTTAGGAAATCGAAGTGTCCTTAGTGACAGAAACTATGAAGGCTATGTACGCAACAACTAGTTATTAATACATATTATTCCTGTTTGCTCAAAAAAAAAAGATAAAAGTAGAATGAAAAATCTGAACCGCAAATTCAACGTATTATGCCTATTGCGGGGGAAGTTTATAAGTGATGTAAATAGCAAATCTGATTCCAAATGCAAGGTGGTGTGCAAATCTGATTCCATATGCAAGTTGGTGTTTGGGGATAAAGTCGGGAGCATTTTTGAATGCCCAAGTGTTAGAGACGACCACCACTAAATGTGCGCCATTTCAGAACCTCAATAAGAGGAATAAGATCCTCACTTATCTGATTGGAATCCGAAAATCCTCTTGCCATAGCCCTATAAATCTGATCAACTCTACAGACCATTTATACAAGCAAATAGCTCAATATTTTAGTACGACTCCTCTTCTTTAGACAATCCAAAATGGTTCTCCAAACTGAAAGCTATCCTGCTCCTGGCTTCAAGCAGCAACAAAGCTACTATAACGGGAACGACTTCTACTCCTCTGAGGACAAATATAACAGCAACTACGGCTCAAGCATGCAAATGACAAAGCCTTATGGTTATCCCAGCGTAACCACTCCTCAGCGCACCCAACATCACATGATGATGAGCCAAGGCGGCTATAGCCATGACGATGATAGCTGGTACAACAAGGACAAGTACCAAACGGGCTATGGTCACCACAATAGCCATGGCCAATATGGGCACATGTCCCATGATTCCTCAAACTTTTCCAGCGATAATAGTGACTATGGGAGTGGAATGCAGCACTCTAGTTCCCACATCGATGGTGGCTATGGGAGCGGAATGCAGCACTCTAGCTCCCGCATGAATGGTGGCTATGCGAGTGGAATGCATCATTCTAGTTCCCACATGAATGGTGCCTATGGGACTGGAATGCAGCATTCTAGCTCCCACATGAATGGTGGCTATGCGAGTGGAATGCAACATTCTTCCCACATGAACAGTGACTTTGGGAGTGGAATGCAACAATCCTCTTACTCTCATATTCCTAGGGGATTGGGACCAACAGAACACGCTTCTCCAAAATACTATGGACAGGATTCCGATAGGGCCCCTGGTTACTATGAGCAGCACAACAAGAATACTGATATGTGGAATTTGAAGAGTTTGGATGATTAAATTCCCAACACTTTTATATAAGGTGAATCTGTGTGCTTTGGTTGAGGCTTTGGCTATATCACAAAGGCCTGTAACCTAAATAACAAATATAAACAACCCTGCTGCTATCTAGTTATCCATGTATTTGCTTTTTTATAACTAAACTAAGAATAATTTGAATTATATGCAGCTATAATGATCTTGAGGAAGTCTTTTATAATCGTAGGTGTTGTCATGTTACAGTTCCATAACAGGGCCGAAATAAACTATGTGAATGTCACGACCCAATTCATCTGAGCCTTGACGGCACCTAACCTGCCCCTTTAAGCGAACCAAACAACACAAGAATACCCAAAACATTAGACAATAAAACCATAATAAAGTCGAATAGTTAATAATATAGATAAGAGAGTAATACCAAATCCATTACGACGTTGGAACGACCAAAATTATCCCCCAGGAACCGGGTAAAATTAATTACTCATGAGCATCTATGAAGAATAGCAATACCGCTATCTCAAATACACAATATTGTCTGAAATAAAGAACAATAGAAAAGATAGAAGTGTTGGACTTTAAGCCATTGGGTTTTAAAGTAGAAGAAGTGTGAATTGGAAATTGAGGGAAATAAAATGGAGAGAAAATGAAAATTTGAAGAAGTGAACTTTTGTCTTGCACTTTGTCCCTCATTGGTGAGGGACAATCATATTTGTGTGCTTATATATAGATTCACTTCTTAAAGCTCTTAAAAGGAGTTGAAGAGAATGAACCCTCGCGCTGTCGTCGTCGCTCGCTCGGCTTCGGATTTGTCAAATGATCGATAAGATTATTTTTTGGACAAAATTTAGAAGTGTTGTCTGAAATAAAGAACAATAGAAAAAGATAGAAGTGTTGAACTTTAAGCCATTGGGCTTTAAAGTAGAAGAAGTGTGAATTGGAAATTGAGGGAAATAAAATGGAGGGAAAATGAAAATTTGAAGAAGTGAACTTTTGTCTTGCACTTTGTCCCTCATTGGTGAGGGACAATCACATTTGTGTGCTTATATATAGATTCACTTCTTAAAGCTCTTAAAAGGAGTTGAAGAGAATGACCCTCGCGTCGTCGTCGTCGCTCGCTCGGCTTCGGCTTCGGCTTTGTCAAATGATCGATAAGATTATTTTTTGGACAAAATTTATTTAATTATTTAATAATTAATTAAATATCAAATCACTGCTGAAACTACGCCAGAACCCTACTGAAAGTTCAGAGGGCCTCGCTGGCCGCGGTTCTGCCGCGACCGCGGTAGAATCGCGGCAGTCAGATTCAGAGAAGCTCTCTGGCCGCGATCGCGGTAGAACCGCGGCAGGCCGCGTATTTTCTGAAAAGGCACCTTTCCAGACACCTCTTCTAATATTTGCTTATAAATTCTGAGGCAAAGCTGCATCTTCAAAATACGAAAAAACGCTCTAGAACTTCTTTCTTTCTGAATATACTGCATCCTAATTCGCAGTCTCTCTCTCTCAAATTCGTAAGTGTGATTTTGCTCCGTTCTTTGAGTTCGTTGGTATCCTGCAGTTTGTATTGCCACTGTTGCAGGAAGGTTTATTCCGTTTTATTCTGGGAGGATTTAATCCATTACCTTGGCAACGTGTGAGGGGGTTAAAATTCCTTAAGGACGCACAAGAAAATTGTGGACTCGGAATATTTCTGATTCTTTACTATTTTATACATTTCTTTATTCTTCTAACAGTTTTCTAATTTTTTGTTTTAATACAGTAACGCTCACAAGAAGGTGGTTCTAATGTGTTGTGGATTAGATAGGGCAACTCACCACAATAAAGTTTCCAAATAAGCTGTTATGATCCTTCTTGAGCTTCACCAGTACTAGACTTAGTATCTGCACATAAAGTGCATGAGTATAATATGAATAAATAAAACGTAGTCAGTTAAGTATCATCGATTGCGCCCAACTGAACAATAAGAAGGAGTAATATAAATATAAAGGACGAGGATAAAATAATTTGAGATGCACAAGTCTAGCATTTACATGAATGCAACAGCAAAAACCTCTAATCACTAATGCATGATAATTCCTCAAACAATACATAAAATTGGCACTTCTCGTGTCAAACGAACCTGTGCCCACAGTGGCGGACCTAGGATTTTGCACAAGCGGGTTCAGTCAAAGACGAGCGCAAGTAATAGTATAAATAGTGTCGGGTATGACGACCAAGATTTGATCATTTTATTTATTTATTTATTAATTATTCTTAACACAATCTCAAAATGAAGTTATTTTAAAATTGGCACTCTATAGTTTTAACATAATTAAAAATATTTTTAAAAAGGTACAAAAAAATTATCTATCTATTTGTAGAAATTTATTTAATAATTTACAAATTTTACTTCAAAAATTTATTAACTCTAAAATATTTAAATAAATCTAGAGTTTTCTTTGTTACTGATAAGATGTTGTTATCTAAAAGAGCGAAGAGAATAAATCTATAAATACTAAACTAATTCAAGTAACAATTTTTTGGAACTATATACCAAACTAGAAAATTAAGTATAAAACAAATAAACGTTACTAAACTAAATAAAACTAACTAATTATAAATAATTTCAACAAATGTACTTACATTTTATCAAATTTTAAGAAATAACGAGCAAATTTCACTTTGTAGGTAGGTTTGATTTTTTTTTTTAGCAGATTAAACTATAGAATAAATTGTATTCTGGCAAAAAAGAAGATAAAGTAACATAGTAAAATAACAAACGAGTGGACATGAGAGTAATATTAGAGGGACTCTTGGTTAATTTGAAACACACTTATCTTGGCCATTGGTTGCGTACACTTCGTCCTACAATACAGATTAAAAGAACAATTAGAAAATGGACAAAATGGACTCGAACTTGGCACCGCCTACACAGCTTGAACCCGCTTGACCACCTCGACCAAGAGCATGTTTGTTCAAAGTGGGTTCAATTTTATAATTTTTACACAACTGTCATCTGTTTAAGTATAATTTATCAATATATATAATATAATTTTTCAACGAAGCGGGTTCAAGTGAACCCCCTTGACACCATGTGGGTCCGCCCCTGTGTGCCCATACTACCCATGGTAATTAGGCGATACAGTGACTCATGAGGGAGGGGTCCGTATCCACAGGCAATATCAGATCGCATGTACAATTCACATGAATTCCATAATCACAATTAAGCGTGAAATCACATATGCAAGTTATAACGCATATGAATAATCCATGACTATCAAGTAAATAATGTAATAAAATATGCATATATCCTATCATGTTAAACTACAAGAGATGCCTACCCCAATGCGCAGTAAATTATAGTGTTCTTGAGAGTGTTTTTGGTGTGAGTAACATCTGTATCTTTGACGAGATACAAGGGGATAAGACCACCGCCTCAATTCTCCAAGCAGGTGAGTAAGTTGCCTGCTTGGCAGCTTGAACAGTGCAACTTCGGATACTTGTATCTCTCTACTCCGATATCGTATTGACAAACGATTTTCCTCGTTAGAAACTAGACACATGAATCTTTAATTCCATATAAATATCTCCTTGTAACTCTCAACAGATTGGGAGAAACTGTGTCGAAACCTGGCCTATAAACCTGCCAGTTTTTTCGAAGTGCGGCAACGTGACTTGGCGACCCTACTTTAAAAATTCATATTTCTCTACCCGATGTCGTATGAATAAATAGTTTGGACCGTCGGAAACTAGGTTCCAATACCTTCTTTTTGGTATGATATATGTCCCAAAATGACATCATAAAGCTTACGAATTTAATTTCTCAAAACGGCTTGTTACAAGGCAAATCTTAACGCGACTTTTCCGTAAGTTAAATCCAATTTTTCCCAAACTTTATATTTTATGTCCAAACATCATATATAGTCATATTATGACTTTACACTCATTCAAATTATGATTAACAAGTCTCATATTCATTATATGTCACCTTAGGACACACAGGGTGTAACACCAAACTTGTGGACTTTCGACAAAACTTATCTTCTTCAATTCGCTTATCTTCTAAGCCTTTCAACCATCTTGGTGCTTGTTATTCATGATCTTAAATATTTGTAACTTCCACGGTAACATGATTAACTTACTTTATAAACTTTTTAAAGATGATTTCATTTTTGAGTTTACATCAATTGACTTACGACGTACTCTTACGTATGAAAACATGGGGTGTAATATCATTCCCCCCTTTGGAGTATTCGTCCTCGAATATTGACTGATGGGCTTATCAGTCTCGCCACCCATAGCTCTTGCGAATATTTTAAAATTGTCCTTGCCATCTAGCCAACTATTTTATGAACAAATCCAACGGCCAGGGCATTCCCCCCTTTAGGCCTCTTTCTCACACCACGATTTATGGCTGGAATCCTTCCAATCTCGTAACTGTTGCTACCTTCTATCATGTAGATTGTACGACTCTGTCCTTGTATGGGCACATATGCGACTCTTCCATAACCACATTCAATCTCTTACCAACTGTCTTTCTTGATGTAGGTATCATTGTATTACGAATGAAATAGAATTTAGGAGTTTGAATTCCTACAACTAAGCTCGACCACATGATCTAGAGTAAGAAGAAAGAGTGACAGTCCTAGATGCCCTGAGCCTCCTGCTTATAAGTGTGGTACATAACACACCCATAAACAAGACTCTACTAGACATGGCTTATAGGCTCCCTAGAACAGAACTACACTGATACCACTTTGTCACGCCCCAAATCTGGGGAGGCGTGGCTGGCACCCGGCGTCGTGCTGGCCCGAGCGAACCACTTTATAACTCATGATCATTCTACCAAAACTAGAACATACATAGGTCGAGTTGGCTGAACTCATTCCTTTTGCAACTATCATGGGCCAACATGGCCATAACTCATATTGTACAACTGTAAGTAGGCAAACACTGTATCAGCGAACCATCGTACTTAACACATGAATATATATAGGCCATCAAGGCCTCTGACATATTGTACATAATGAACCTATGTGTCTACA